GGTTTAACAATTCTTTTTATTGTGCACCACATAGAGTCCCTTTTCTTTTCCATGGGTGGCTATAGAAATAAGATAAATAAAATTACAGAAACAGAATTAAGATTTACCTGAGAAAAATACCACCCGTACAAAGGAAGCCACTTTAATCCGTCTTTCAAAACGTATCGAATATGTCCAAGAGCATTTTGCCTGATGGCCAACATGTCTGCTATAATCCAGTCAACTGCAAAGCCAAAACACAAATATTTACAAACGTAATACATCCTTGGCATATGGAATACCGATTCTCTTTCCTGAAAAACAAATGCTGCTAATGAACATGGATTGAGCTTCTTAGCTACAAAGTAAAATAAGCTCTTTCCACAATCCCATTCCTTCTCTTTTTGTCTTTTAACTTTCCATTCTCCATTTATTTCTCAGTTCTCAATAGAAAAGTTTTAAATGTATACAATTTGTTAATCTGCTGCTATTTAATCCACTTCACTAAGGCTAAGACTGCCAACTCATTTTAATATAATACAGAACATGGTAGATATAGACTGTCATTCTACAAAATGTGCTTTTAAAAGCTGAACTAGAAAAGAGAGGGTATTTTAAAAACTATCTCCAAGTATCAGACGCAAAATTATTTAACTACCTTGAATAGATTACAAAATGAATATTTAATGTTGGATCACAATAAACAGCTAATCAGTGATACAAAAGGATCTTCTGGTCCAGGAGTAGCTCATATACTCCACAACTTGTTAGTTTAGAGCTTATTTGCACCTGAGCCAATTAACACAATTACTATTTCACAAAGCTAACACTTGAGCTTGAGGGCAGGTGGTTATGAACTGGCAGAAATTCTTGCTTTTTGCACAACTTCCTGGTTCTCCCCCTCTCTGTTAAAGCAAAGTAACCACCAGAAGCTGTGATGCCTTATCACCACTTCACCCAGCTTCTCAAGACAAGAAGAAAGAACAGGCTGGGTGCCATTTTTTTCTGCTCCCCACTGGTTACCTGGAGACAGCAATCATTGGCTCATGGGGAAAACTCAGTGTTGTAAGAACAGCAACAGGAAGGACAGTTGTAGGCTGGTACAAGTGGCTTCTGATAGTTTGTGGGTGAAGCCAGAGGCTGAGTGGAAATGTCCTTAGACAGATCTCTTCCACAGAGGCAAAGACTTGTGTGTGTAAGGTGGTTTATCAATAAAACTAATACCAAAAAGGAAACTTGGGGGGTTGTGACAGAATCCAACTGTAGTTTTACATTTGTAGAAAGTGCTTCTACTACTAGAAGATTGCAACCAAACTTACCAATCTTATCTGACTCCTGTATCCCTTTGAACTTTTTTCCATGCTATTCTATAGAGTCCCCGAACTTTCAAAGTAACTTTTCAGTACAGACAGGCAATTACAAAGAGCAGGGAGGAACTGGAGAAAATTAGGTATCTCATCTTGCAGGAGCATCAAAGATTGTCAGGAAATGAATGAGCCTGATTTTGGTGATAAGAATCTTAAAAGCCTCACTGTATGTAGAAAACTTGCCCTTTTCAATCAGAATTCTATCATATCTTACACATACAATAAATTAGTATGTAACCCAAATATTTAATTATGGAGAGTTTAGTCTGAATATTTCTACATAGTTCTACTTCACTCCTTATATGTTTTTAATTATTTACATCACATAAAATATCTCATAGAGAAAGCAACCATATACAAACCTGTAGTTTGATGATTTGATATATATACCACATTCTCTTTACTTTTTGGCAAATCACCATATAGAATTATCTGGGGGGGAGAGAAAGTACTTAGTTAGCTTAATTATATAAACACAAATTTAAAATCAGAGGCCAAACATTCCATTTTTTGAATGTTCTTTTGAAGAGGAAGAATGTTAATTATTCTTCTGATTCCCTTTTCCGTCTCAATGCAGTGTTGGTCCGCTGCTTAAATTATGTGTTATTCTACTGATTCCACATCTACGTTTAAACACAAGAGTCTGAATCTATATAAGCGAAGGTACTAACACATATACAGGCTTAATCTATGCTTTCTAACAGTAGAGTTTAAAATGAAATCATATTTTAAAAATCATGTCTTCTCTTGCAAAAGTAATCATGTGTATGGTAATACAGTTAAGCCACGATGCACTCCTGTTATGTGTATTAATAATTCTTAGAGATAGTTTATCTTTTCTAGCTTCTCCCTCCTTACGGACACAGAGGAGTAACAAGCATAATCCAAGAGTAAAATTAAGCTTTCCACCTCTGTCAGGTTTCTGAAACTATAGGATAGTAGATGTTTCTAAATTGATAAAGAAAACCAGTATTATCAAGGTAGACATATTTTCCTTACGATACATTATTTACATAAGAGCCACTTTGGCGTACTATAGTGGTTAAGGCACCAGGCTAGAAACTGGGAGACCGTGAGCTCTAGTCCCACCTTGGCCCAAGGCCAGCTGGATGACCTTGGGCCAGTCACTCTCTGTCAGCCCTGGGAAGCAGGCACAGCAAGCCACTTCTGAAAAACCTTGCCAAGAAAACTTCAGGAACTAGCCCAGGCAGTCGACAGGAGTCAAGACAGAATCAAAGGGACAAATCTCTCTCTCTCTCATATATACACACCCACACCCACACATTTACAAATAGTATATCAATGATTTATGCTATAAGAAATTTTCATATGCAATTTTGGCTACAAGTAGAAAGCTAATGCTAAACGCAGATGGGGGAAAGGTGGAAACCGTTAGAGGAAAGGGACAAGTCTAAAATTGCACAGGACAATAGGATACACAAACCTTTGACCTTTAGATCATTAGCTTCATTCAAGCTTGTTCAGTGAAGGGACCACCTGACATCTGCCTGATGATCTTACTGAAAGGAACATCTGTCTATTGGCAACAGTTCTGAAATGAGCAGCTGATTCTAAATACTTCTGCCTAAATGAATTTACGTTACTACAGGTTTTGCTGATTTCAGTGGCACTTGTTTTGAAAGAAGCATGTTTAAACACCAGGATACCATAACAACATTTCTACCATCCTAGTTGGCAAGGAGAAAATATAGGCACAAAGGAGAAAGTTAAAAAGAAACAATAGCTTCCTTGAAGGCTGAAAATAAAGGATAAAACCTGGTATGCATGTTAACGAGAAGATACAGCATTATAAGGACCAGTACTTTTGTTTTTAAAAGTAAAATAATATTTCCCTTGAAAAATAAACATTCGAGGATCCACAATATTTGGCCTAGCTTCCAAATGAGGCTGTTTTTGACTACCATATATTCCAAACCCTTTGCATATACAAAAAGACTTCAGGATAGGCTCATTTTTTGGTTTCCAATAGCACTGTTCCATTTTTACAGGAGCATATGAGTGTGTTCACATAATATGTTATAGTTGGTGTCTCAGTATATTATGCAAATCTAATCTGCGTGATTAATTAATAGTTCAATGTGTTGTGGAAACCTGAGAAAACGAGTTCAGTAAATGATGGGTCAGCATAAATTACAAATACTGTTTGTTGCTTGGTATGAAAAAAAAACCCCAAACAAATATTTTTACTTCTATAGTTTTTGCCACTCATGAAGAATTCAGGAAGAGGAGTTTTAAAGATAAGGAGGAAATTTACCACAGGTTTCCCACTCTGGAAAAATTTGCAGCACAGGTAGTCCTTATGACTACAATAGGGACTGGAAAATTAGTCGTTAAATGGTGTGGTCGTTAAGCAAGGCATCATATGACCACGCCTGATTTTACGATATTTTTTGTGGTAGTGATTAAGCAAATCAGATGGTCATTAACAGAATCACATGGTTCCCCATTGATTTTGTTTGTCGGAAGCTGGCTAGGAAGGTCACAAATGGCGATCACGTGACCCAGGGATACTGCAACCAATGTAAATACATGCCAGTTGCCAAGCACCCAGGTTTTGATCATGTGATGGTGAGGACACTGTAACAGTCGTAAGTACAAGGACCAGTTGTAAATCACATTTTTTTGCCCAATTGTAACTTGGTCACTAAATGAATGGTCGTAAGTCGAGGACTACGTGTACCCTTAAGTAATATCTTACTTAAGCAAATTCCCTTCTTTGATAGCTATGCATTTCTGGAGGATAGAATGACTCTACAATTTGGCTATGAAAGGAGGGGAAGCTGCTTAAGATGCTCCAAATTTGTACAGAGGTGGGAAATCTGTAGCCCACCAGATGTTGCTAAACTGCATGTTTAACTAATCATATTGATTAGCTAATCAGCTCATACACTATTGCTATGAGTTGGCATGCAGCAAGATCTGGAGACCCTGGCATTTCTCACTGTTACTGCAGTAAATAACTTCACCGCATGTAATAAACTCCCAGCTTCTTTCAAGTTTATCTGAATTCTCCTGAAGATGAAAACAGCAGAATACAGTTTAGCTTATCTTTTGCATGTCTATGACAAATTAATCACTCAACCCTATGAATATTTATACAAGGCTACATCCCTCTGACAATTCACAGCTGGACTATTCCAAATGAGTGTGGGTAAAATACAGCCTATGAGATACTAAAGGAGTAGCCCAGGGATGAATGGAGAAAGTATCAAGAATATTAAAATATTAAAAACAGAACACACATCCTAGCTTCATATTATTTATGGGGAAAGAAATTCTTGCTTCCAGTTTCAGTTTACTGCTTATAGAAGGATTGCTTCTTTAATGTGGGAAATTGGTAAATCAAAAATTAAATTGTAGAGCCCACCTATATATCTCTAAAATTGCCTAAAATCATAACATTTTAAAAACATACAGTAATTTGCAAATCATTGTTGTACATTCTTGCTTACATACAGCAAGATTCTAAGGTATGTAACAGCTGATGTACAATTTCACTGCCACAGCAGTTCATTGAATAGATTTAAATATCACTTGATGCTAGAGATGCTTATACTACTTCATAATTTAGGTGGGGTTATATCATAATCAAGAAACAGTCTTCTAAACTTATGGGAAAAACGTGTACGAAATAGAAAGCCTTCCTACAGTTCATCTTCCTGATATGCTAAGTTTTTGTGTGCCCAAAAGGTTACTGTGTTTCGCTTTTTGGTAGGCAAGAGTAGTTTCAGTCATCCAATTCCCCACTTGCAATTCGAAATCAGTGCAATCCAGAAACATAGCAAACTGTCCAGAAATCAACTAAAGGCATCCACTGTGTATGTAGCTTTAAGCATCTTACACTGCATCTCTGGAACAGAAATAATTAAAAGATTATGTAAATTGATGAAATTAAAGTTATTAATTTAAACTAAAATGGAGACTGTGGGAATGGAAGAAGTGGAAAGTATGTTGTAATCAAAAGTTGCAGTTCCTGCCTATCAGTGCCTCCAACAGTATATGCAGATGTGCAGATGAGACAGTTAAAAGTGGGAGTTAAAAGCAAGTTAAACCTATTGCTGATACCATGTAACTTCTGAAAATATTTTAATTAATCATCATATACATATTAAAAAGTTTAATGCAGTTTAATTCAGGATTATTACTCACAACATATACTTGCTCTGGAAAAATGGGGAGAAACTTTTAAAATCATGTTTGTGAAAAACTACACTGAACTTCATTGAAGAAGCTCCCTGTCCCCCAAGAACCGATGCTGCTTTTAGGGACAATTCTATGTCATTTATATTTAAATGGAAGCAGAAAGAACAGTGGCCTGACTGAAGTAGCTATCTTCACAATGACACTCTGTTAATTCAGGGATCAGCTCAGCCTATCTCACAGGATTGTTGTGCAGAAAAAAATGGAGGAAGGAGTGCTGTGTTCACGGCCTTAAGTTCCTATAGGAAACATGGGGTATAAACCTCAAAAACCAACAATCAAAAAATATAGTCTGTGGTTGAACCTCCAAACTTGCATGCACACCACCTACCAGCCTCTCTTTGCAGCTGTGACTAGATCATTGTGGAGATATCCAAGGAGACAGTGAACCCATGGTGTAGTGGGGTGGGGAAAGCAAAACCAATAAAGAGGGAGGGGGTAACATTTGTATGAATGCAAAAAACCCAAGAGATAGGGATCATCTGAGTAGGATCATCACACTTTCTCTTATATGGTCAGAGAGATACACTGTAGAGAAGGGAGGAAAATAAGGAATCTTGAAATCCCCGGGAGTAAAGCTTGTCTCCATGCAGATTTTATAGCTGGACCTGCCCCCTGACGAAATACTGATTTCAACAGGAAAAAAGGGTGCCCATTCTGGACCCAAGGAAGGAGCTCAGATTCTTAGGACCACCCCCTCTGCATTTGCTCACTTCCCAAACTCTCTTGCCAGCCAACCAACCTACTCCTGGTCAGGAACAGCAATCAATCAAATGGAGGCAAGATTGTTTCTTGCCGCTCTTTCCTTCCAATTACTGGCCTATTGTCTCTTTTCGGGGCAGTGAAGAAAGCAAGTACAACATTCAGACTGAAAGGCAAGCCAGTCCTTCCTCAGTGGTGCATCAATGATAACTGGGCCTTACTTTTATGCTACTCAGAAGAGCGGCAGGAGGACCAAGAAAAAAGCAGCTGCTAGAAGAAGCTGCTGCTGTATTTGCTACCTCACAGGTGCACAATGCCTCCTTTCTTCTTTGGGAAGCATGGCAGTGAGAACTGTGTCCACTGCACCAGCCAGAGCTCATCGTCTAAAAATACTTTACTAGCCCTACCGCCCAAGACTCACTGACCGGTGAGGCAAACCCTTGTTCTCTCTTCCACTTTTCAACATGGGGCTTGTAATGCTCACTCAGTCTTAGCTGAACATACAGGTGGGTTGTGACTGTAGGAGTGCCCAGAGCGTTGCCTCTTCCTGACTGCTGGATGGGAGGTCACAGCCTCAGGCCAGGGCCCCAAAGCCTCCCCTGCTGGCTCATTTGCTCGGGCTGGGAAGCCTGGAGAGGCAACCACCCTCTTTGGTCCCCGGCCCCTTTCTGCTTCCTCATTCTCTGGCCAAAGCAGCTGTTGAGACGGGGCGTGCTTTAGGAGGGACGAGGAGGGGAATGGAGTCCACCAGCCCCAACCACGCCTGTAAGCCGCCCTAACCTGCACGCCGGTGTAGTTCTCGAAGAAGAAGAGGACCATGCTCTGGTAGATGGTATACAGCCGGTCATCCACCTCGTGGTAGAAGCGGGCGGGCAGCACGGCGGAGAGCAGGCGCCAGGCTCCCCAGGCCAGGATGTAGGTGGGGGCGGTGCCCAACATCACAGCGGCGGGCAGCACGTAGCGCATGGAGTAAGTGTGCAGCACCAGCGACAGCAGCATCTTCTCCGCCGGTTTGTTTTTATGGGGTTCGATTTGAGTGTAACTGGCTTGAGTCGTCGCCACCTGCTTCCCTCACCAGTCGCTGCTGGCACTTCAGGCGGGGAAGGAAGCGCCTCTCCTCATGCGCTCCGGGCTCCAACTACTGCTGAGGAAGAGGAGGAGGAGGAGGGGGAAGAGGACGCCTTCAGCGCTCAGCCACATGGCCCTCAGCAGCCGAAGCGGAAGCAGCATGGGCGGGCACGGCGAGAGGGAGCCGGGCGGAGCTCACGCCTCACCTCCAACCCGCAGAAAGCAGGGGCGCCGCCGCCCTGGCGCAGGCACGCTCACCTCCTCCCGCCACCCGGCGCCGGGGAGGGAACGGTGGGGACGGCGCCTGCGACAAGCCAGCTCCGCCCCGCTCGTCGGCTGCGCCGAGGAGACTTCCGGGAGTTGGCCGCGGCCGCCTCAGCCTCAGTCTGGCCGAGCGCTTACTCCGCCCCAGAGCGCGCTTTCTCCGCCTCTTTCTTTCCTCGCCGCCCGCTGGGAAGATTTTCCTGGGAAAGGCGCGAACAGCTGACGGAGCGGCGGCTGCTCGCTCGGCGGCCCGTCTTTCCGCCGTGTGGCAGGCGGGCGCTTAGCCGAAAGCCTAGGGCCACGCGGAGCAACCCCCCGATGCGCGCGCTGCGGCGTGGGGCCACCCTCACGCCTCACCGAGCTCTGCCAAAGGAGGGAGCAAAGGTTAGAGTAGAATAACGCGTGTGCAGGTACCGCATTGGTAAGAGAGGCTGGCGCAGGACAGCGGGGGGTTTCACGCAGCTGCCCCCAGGCCTGAGCGCTGCTCTCGTCGCCGCTTTTCCAAAATAATGTGCCCGTTGCCTGTTGGTTGCCCTTGCTCTCGCTGGGGAGACGGAAATGAAACAGGGAACAGATCTGTCCCTCTGCCGAATTTGAGGCCCGCACCAGGACTAAGAGAGACACTTTGATGTTGGTTAAGGCACCGGGCTAGAAACCGGCAGGCCGTGAGTTCCAGTCCCGCCTTGGGGAGGAAGGCAGCTGGGTGACCGTGGGCCAGTCCCTCTCTCTCAGCCTTGGAAGGAGTCGAGGGCAAGCCAGTTCCATAATCTTGGCAAGGAAACTGCGGGGTCTTGGCCAGGCGGTTGCCAGGAGTCAAGAGTGACTCAAAGGCACAAGGTCTGCCGGAAAACAAAAAAATGCCACCTAGGACTAAACCCTAATCTGCCTACAGGTAGTCCTCAACTTAACAACCATTTCTTCAGCAACCTTTCAAAGTTATGATGGCGGTGAACGAATGGTGGTCACAACTGGTCCTTGGAGTTATGGGCATCCCAGCAACCCCATGGTCACATGATCGCAATCTGGGTGCATGGCAACCTGTTCACAGTTCTGCCCCAGATGCACCCCCCCCGACCCCTCTGCGCTCAGACCACACCAGCCACTCACGCACCCCCAGCACGCACTTGACCTGCGCGATCTTGGATGTTGATATCTCTACTGTATAGAATTTCAGTATGCAATTTCTGCCTGTCCATTGGTGTCCTGTAGCATACCAATTTGAAGTTAGAACCTCCTTCTGAATTTGGAGACCTTTTCAAAGACTTTCCTTGTTTTTCCTTGTTTTCCATCTTTGATGTCTTTACAGATGCCATTGTAATATTCTGTTCTTGTGTTTTCCTAATTGTTTGTCAAGTTTCTTCTTAAGATCTTAGTCTTTCTTGACAATCTCCGTGGTTTGTTCTGACATCCAGTTTCTTTTCTTCTGTTTCTCAGTCTTTTCACATTCATCCTTAACAACATCTCTCATTTCATTCCATAGTTCTTCTGGTTCTCTATCGATAAGGTTCGGGATGTTCTCCTTGAAAATGGTAGGTATATGCTCAAGATGACATTGTGGAAACTGGCTGGCTTTCTTCTTCTTTAGCTTAACATGGAACTTGCACATGAGCAGTTAGTGATCTGTTCCACAGTCGCACCAGGCCATGTCTTTGATACTGTAATTGAGCTTCTCCACCTGCTTTTAGCAATAATGTAGTCAAATTGTTTTCTGTGTACTGCATCTGGTGATGTCCATGTATATAGGCATTATTTTGGTTTTGGGAAGTCTGTGTTAGCAATGAAGAAATCACTGGATTGGCAGAAATTGATAAGTTGTTCTCCTGCTTCATTTGTTTCCTAGGCCTATAAAGACCAAGTATATTTTCCTCCTTAATATTTCCAGTGTTGATATTCCAGTCTCCAAACTCTTGCTTGCATGTTATTCTGATTTTAAATTGAACCTGACATGGAACTCATCAACCTCCTCTTCCTCTGCACTTAGAGCATAAACTTGGATAATTGTCCCATTAAAGAGTTTCCAGAAAGTCTAGTTGATATTATCTGGTCACTGACTGTATTGTACCCAAGTTCTGACCTTGCTGTATCCTTCTGGGCTGAAGGAAAGAAAGCAATGCCATTTGTTCCTGTAAACAGTAGTTTATGATTTTCTGAGGGAAATATCCAATTCCAGTGTGTTTCAGATCACCAGTGCCTAAGATGTCAATCTGTACTCCAGTACTGCCATTTTATCTTCTGCTGTGTAGAGTTTTCTCATGTTCATGCTTCTTACGTTCCAAGTTTCCACTGTCTTTGCAACTTCAGATTTTCTTTTCTGCATGGCAACAACAGCAATGAAAGGCTTTAATTTAGCCATGTCATAAACACAATTAGTACTCTGAAAGAAGCCCATTATTTATTTATTTATTACACATATTTCTCTGTCACCACAATGAAAATTAGTCTTGGTGGCTACATTATCTGCATTTTGTCAATTGCTTTATACTGCCTATTCCCATTGTAACTGAAAAGATCATTTTCCTCCAGTACCTTCCTATACTGCTGCTGCCCAATGTTGTTACTTGCTTACTTTAGCTGGGCAGCTGGGATGATCTCCACGCCTTGGGTGAGCCTGCTGGGTTTATAGACTCTCAGTGTACGCCCCTGGGGTCCTTCACTCATCCAGAAACGCTCCTCACAACAAGGCAGTATTGCAGGACCTGGGAATGAAAACCTTCCAGAGCAGATTATAAATGTTGGTAGTAAGATGGCCTCTGCCCTCAAGCTTCCAACATCTTTTTAATGGATCTCGCTGTGTATGGTGTCATGTGGGTAGTTCATGGGTCTGTAGATGTATCTATATGGTAACATCGTTTTAAGTGACCTAAACACACACGACTGAGCAGGATATGATCTAGTAAATAAATGTGGACATCATATTGAATGAGGGACTTCTTTGTAGTATTCTTTATCTTATGGTGCACTACTATGGTTGTGTGCAAGCACTGAAAACACACTCCGTTTTTAAAGGCAGTGGGAGTTAAGTGGAATTATTTTTGATAAAGATTTATACAAGATTATTCCATTAGTGTCATTTTATTTCTTTTCGCTGGCAAGCTTCTTCTGCTTTTACTGACTTTGTAAAAGATGGCAAAATTAAACTTTACCTCAGCACTGAATTGAGAAAGAGAGCTGAATCTGTTGAATTTCTGTCACTAAACTCAGTAAGATGATATACTTAGGCAAGATGTAGCTGCATCCTCCTTTTTATTCAGCTACAAGATACTCTCTTACAGGTATAGTACAGAAGCCCAATAGATTTCGTTACTATCTGTCATTAAAATTTCAGTGATAAACTTGTTTCCAATGAGTTTCTTCCATTCACTGTTATTAAAAGAAAAAAAAATCCTTCAATTCTTAGCTGAAGTCTGCATCCTTTGCCCCCAAGGTGAATATCACATCAAGGAGAAGACTCTTCTGGTGTAGTAGCTATAAACAGCTTTCTTAGCTCTCCGTACCAAAAAGAACACTCATTATCCACCACCTGTTCTGTGTTGATTTTTTTATATTGTTATTATTGTTAGGTGGAAACATCTATGGAGATAACTCTATCTAAAGGTTGGATATAAAGATTCAAAACCCATCATATATAGGCTGAGGCTGTTAGCATCCCTTTCCTGGAGTTTTTTAAGAAGAAGCTGGACAATGACCTTTCAAAGATGGCTTAATTCATTTTCTTGCACATTGGACAGTGTTGGACTAGATGATCCATGCATTCATTTCTCACTCAATAATTCTGTGATTCCTTGGAGCAATCTCAGCCCTGGCATTCTGAGTTAAAAATGACTGAGATGCAGGCGATAGGAAAGAGTGGGAGAGCCTTTGGCAGTGAGAAAAAAATAAAACTGGTAGATAGACTAATATTTTGGGCATCAGTATCTTTCAGTTTATGTTGCAAGGTTGTGAGAGCAAAGCTGGGAAAACCTCAACTGCATTGCTTATGGCCCTTTGTGGAAAGGAAGGACAGGATATAAAAATGTGATGAATAATAAACTATCCATGCAAGAAAAATCTCAGGAAATGCCAGTTACATTTTTCCCTTGAACATTCTGGCTTTGATGCTGCTGAAAGCCAGTTGTGTAAATTGTTCAAGCTGTGATAGTCCCACAGTGGCCCCAACTGCTATAAGAATGGATGTGGCATCTGTATAAGCTGAAATTTCCAGAACCAAGTGGACCATGGTTGACATATCAGATATATATTAGAAAGTATATTAATATTTTTAAGATGTAATGTGGGTGTAGCTTTAATTGCCTTGCTGCAACTACTTTCTGTAAGTTCCTGTCCTCCAAATATGCAGGAACTACAACTGAAGTTCTAATTAATTTAACAGGCAATAGATTGGGGAAACAGAATTACTTTGTAGCAGTAAGGACATTAAAGCGAAGCCCCCAAGGTTTCTAGAAGGGATCTGCATGAAGTACAGCAGGGATGGGCAACCTAATGTCCAAAGATCACATATGGCCCACTAGAGCATTTTGTGGTAAAAAAGCAAAGTTGAGTTAAAATAGCTATGTTAGCCTTCTGCTGGGCTTAACAGGTATCTTGCTTTTTTAACCCCACACCTCAGATCCTGAAAAACAGGCCAAAATGTTTTACCTTCCCCCTCTGATGACATCACTTTATCATCACTACTCACTCTGCATCCTCAAAGACCAAAAAAGAAAAAAAGGAGGACCTTTGGCTGCTGATTTCCCAGCCTTTGAGAATAACATCATGACACTATTTTATCATTTCTTTTAGATTCTTCTTACATTCGTTATTATACTCGACATAAAGTTGGGGCTGTGTATGTTAAAGAAGAAATGCCAACCAAATTTTCAGTAACAGTCTTTGGAATTCATCTATTTGTTTATCACTTGGCTCTTCTAAGACTTTTGTTTATATTTTCCCATTTAGAATCAGGTCAGCTTCTTTCTGTATGTAAACAATCCTCATACCATCTCCAGCTCACTGCCAAAATATGCCTTCTCTTCTCTAAAGCCAGCCTAAAGGACTTAATGATTTACTTTTGATTGCCTGCTAATTCACTATTGAATTCTAGAGATTTCTTGAGCAGCTTGGTTGGTCACTGCAACTCTGCTAACACTCTCAGAATAAGGCTTCTACCTGAATATTTTTCCTATATATTTGCTTTCCTTCTTCAGAATGTAGTGATAGTAATGGATATTAACCACGATAAAGGAGCAGATTGTGAGAAGCTGTAAAAATACAGTAGTACCATTTTCTTTTCTGACCCAGAATTTTAAAAAATGCATTTTATTTATTACCAAAATTTATATCCACTATTTAAGTCTGATGGACCTTGGGCAGGTAACAATAAAATAAAACATTCAATATAAAAAAGAAAACATAAGTAAAAATGACATGACAGAAACAAGTCACACTCTTGGACTTAACTAACATCAAATATATTATATTGGCTTAGGGTTCACAATATTTTTCCAACAAATCTTTATTTTTCTGGCCTTACCCACTGTCATGTTTCTTTGCAGTACTCTGTAATATTAGCATTTAAAACTTTTAATACTTCAATATTAATTAACGGAGACTGCACAGAGCAGGAATAATTTTAAGAGTAATTAAATAAATTAAAATTAAATCTTAATTTAAATTTAAATTAAATCTCTGGGGGAGATAGGTAGCGTATAAATTTAATAATAAAATAAATTAAAAAATAAGAGTACAAACATTATACAGCCACCATTATAAGCATAAATAAATTGTTTGCATCGTTAAGCCCAGGGACTGTTACTTTCTGTGTACTGCAGATGATGGAGGCCCTGGATTTTGCAAAAAGTAAATATGGTATATACATTTTAATATCTTTTTTGTTTGGTTCATTGCTTATATGCAGAGTAAGTTGAAAACTTGTTTGAAAGCACCTCCGTATCCCACACCTCAATGTTTGTAGGAATAATAACAGGCATGTTTACTACCTCTTTTCTGTTTCCTGCTCCTTTAGGCTGCAATTTATCAGGTACAGGTTTTATGGCATAGCTTTTCTGCAAACAAAACAAAACAAAAAAAACCCAACCTGAGCCTCCTAATCAAAATGCTCTTGATATTTCTTCAAACATTTGACACCTACCAGTTCATATTCTTACTTAAAGAACTGGTCTCCCACACTAGAATTGTTCACGTGAACATTTCCAGTTGGTTAGCTGCTGGGGGTGCGGTGGCAACTTGGAAATTTGGCAAGTGTACTAGGAAGGAAATTAAAATGTTTACCATTTTTCCTTTAATGGGCTGGCACTACCATCCTTTAATGACCAAGGGGCACTAAGTAATGTTTCTAGTAAGTAACTAAAATCTGAACAGAGATTCTAAAATGTTCATCCAACCATTTCCATCTATGGAAATGTTAACTCTTAGTAATATAAAACCCAATGATGCGTGAATAGAGTGGCTGTCAAATTATCCCAGACACAGAAGTATAAAAAGAAATAAGTAAAACACAATTATAATGCAGATGTCGTGAGAATGCAGCCTTCTTCCCACCTACCTCCACGGTTTTGGTCTGGCCAAGTCTTGAGTTCCCTGGAGCTGGACCAAAACCCAATATTGGTTCAAGCCATCACAAGAAGCAGCATCTCTAGGCTCAATCCTCAGATGAAAGCCGATGCTGCAGTTTCCTTCTTGTGTGTCGCTTGAGCCCTGTGGTTTATGCTGCTCTTCCTCCCATGCGAAAGGTGGCCCAGAAGCATATTCCAATCCTTGCCTATCCTTTTAACAGGATATTGAATATCTTCCTGTTCACCTCTTGATCCAAGAACTCTTGTCTGGTTTTTAACAGACAAACAGGAAATGAGAAATAAGCCCACTTTGGAGCCATTCAAAGAGGAGAAACTGGATTTCAGCTTCATGGAAACCTGGTTCTTGTTTTGATTAGAATCTAGACATTCACCAGCTCAAACCACATTAGATTAGTACCTGCAGGAGGCAAAGCCAGCCAGATGAAATTGACCAAACATCCCAAGGTCTGACTTATTGGAACCAAAGTTCCCCTGAACTTTCCTCTGAGAAAAAACAGGGTTCTTACCACTGAGATGTGAAACTCCAGGGTAACAAACTGAGTGAGGCTTGTCCAATAAAACATGACCCAAATTCACTTGCTCCGAAATAAAATGCAAGTAGGAAGCAAGGCCAGATTGCCTATGACCCTTGAGTTCTTTTTCAGGAGCACTTTTACCAAACTGAGTTTGTATTCAGAATGTGGAAAACTTGCTGTGGTGTTTGTAACAGCTGGTAATGCTAATAAATGTAACTCCATTTTGTGCTGCTCAATTACTCCCATAATTCTGAGAGTGTAAGATATAGCTTTAGCTAACTTATTTCAATATAAATCATAAAGTAGTAAATTCATCATGAGATGTATTTGTGTATATATTTCATTTGCCTTTTGCATAGAGAACACCTAATATATGTGCTATAGTTTCTTTTATTATGTTTCTAAAAAATGCGTTTAGATATCCATGACTATAATAATTCTCATGTTTGACAATGGTCTTTGAGTTACTATTATTTATGGAAAATTAAATTATTGCAAACCCTTGCAATATGCTATGAGTAGTCACAGCAGTTCCTAAAACATTCAGAAGACAGCAAATGGTTCCATATATCCAGATTCATAACACCCATGTTGGCTCTTCAACAAAGCTGTATTTTAGCCCCAGGGTCAAATCCCCCCTATTAGTATTTTATTGATTGATTATTGGATTTCTACTCCCCATTTCTATCCCCTTGGCAAACAAGGTGGCTTTCAACAGTAAAGAGGCAAAAACTAAACCAACATAGATACAATTAAAATTGAGATTAAAATCAAACATTAAAATAAAGTAATAAAATGAAGTACTTAACCTTAGCTGTGGATAGCATCACAATTGATACTGGTTCACACATACAGTTTCCTTGCACCTATTCATTTATTCTTAGACACAAATAATAATGCCAGTAACATATTAATATAATCCCCTATTGACATCAACTAAAGAGGGGAGGGGAGGGGTGGGGACTTCAGCAAATTTGGAATCTCATGGGAATATTACCCCAAACAGTTGCAATCCACACCAGAATATTGTCCATTTATCCTGTTGACCGTCCTGATTGCTCACTGCTATCCTGTCTGGCTAACCAAATGGGGCGGGTGGCAAATATGTGGAGGCTAATGAATAATCCCGCCTATGATCAGGCACCTTGCCCATAAAGTAAAGAGATCTTCACAAAAAAGGAGAGGAGAAAGCCTACGAAGCTTTTACTTCTGTGATGCTGCAGCAGCTCAGGAGAAAGATGGACTGTTTTCTGAGATGCCAAATGGTGGACTCACGTGATTTAAACCATGGTCTAGGGATGAGATGGGGGTCAACGGTGGACGTAAAG